GCCGGGTGGTGAGCGACCACGACTGGTCCCGCCCCGGCGCTACGCTGAACGGATCTTGATACCTGTCCAACGAAACGGGGGGGGGGGGAGGAGAGGAGGAGGAGGAAGGGAATAAGGGGACGGGGGGGGGGGGTTATGATGTGCTTGGTGTGTGGATGTGTGGTGGTGTGGGTGTGTTGTGGATGCGGCTGCTGCTGCTGCGATGGATTTGGTGCTGACGGCATGTCAAAGGTGAGTGTTGTCGGGCGCGTACCGTGTGAAGAGGTTGTGCTCCCAGTTTGTGTTGTGGACCTGGCTCACGTTGTCAAAGTGGAATTCACCTGCAGAGGCAGCGGAAAGACAAGCAGGTGTTGGTGAAGGCGCACACGGCCGCACATCCAGTGATATGTGTAATCACAGGCATAACAACACTGGCGCAGCCACAATTGCAACCACACAGACAGACCGACACACGCACACGCACACACACGTACACACACACACGCACACGCACACATGCATGCACACACACATGCATGCACACCACACACACGTACACACGCACACACACATGCATGCACACACCACCACCACCACCACCAGCACCAGCACCAGCACCGCCTCTATACCTGCGATGGCCTGGAAGCCGACGACCTCGCCTGGGTTGGAGGTGCGCTCGCGGAAGTTATGCGTGAACCGCTCAATCTCCTCCAACTGCTGCCGCCGAATATCAGGGTTGCTCGACTGATGGTCGGTGATGGTGCATGCGTGTCAGCACTCGTGTACACAAACAGAGACAGTTGTATGAGTGCGTGTGCGTGTCCGTGCGTGCGTGTGCGTGTGCGTGCGTGTATGTGCGTGTATGTGCCAACTTGACATTCAAACGATCATGCCACATGATCAGCACCGCCACGACCATTAACACCACCGCTGATGTATACGCACGTGGAGTTCGGTGACGAAGATGTAGCCGACGAAACGACGCTTCTCCGGCTTGTTCTTCTTGAAGAGGTGCACCTGGTGGTGATTTGGGGCGGGGGGAGGGTTGGTCAAGGGGAGCATGAGGGCGAATGTTGCGCAAATGGTTACAGGCAGACAGACAGACACAGGTATGGACAGGTGGGCACGGAATCAGACACAGACACAAACACACACAGACAGACGCAGATGCAGACACAGACGCAGATACAGACACAGATACAGACACACACAGACACACAGACAGATGCAGATGCAGACACAGACGCAGATACAGACACAGACACATACACAAGCACGCACACACAGACACACACACACACACACACACAAACATACACACACACTGACCTTGGCGAGGAGGAGACCACGGCAGAATCGCCCATCAGCGCCTGCGCTGCCGGAGAACGTCTTGAATTCTGCGTCCATAATCGGGTACTTGGAGAGCAGCATGAGGCCCGATCCGGCGCTGAGGCGATGGGAACGCCAGTGTAGCACGCCCGTGTCCTCGACGATGAAGGGGAACGATTGGTGGAGATGGAAGAGAATGCGCTCTACGGCCGTGCGGTCGTACACCTGCTGCATGCACACGAAGTCGCTCGTGGGAAAGTCCTTGAGCACGTTGTTGAAGTTGACGCTGTGCCGCTGAATGTTGGACGCGGCGATGCGCACGGCCAGGCTCTTTGCGCGCTCGGATGTGTTGCGCAGGTTATACTTGCGCGCCAACGCCTCTGGCAACAGGTGGGCATTGCACGACACGATTGTCCACTCTGTCTTGCTGATGCTGCGCTTGGTGCGCTGCACAACAGGGTGTGGGACATGTAAGAAGAGAGTATGGCCAGTGATACGTGCGAGGTCAGCCTCACGTGCAGCAGGTCAATCAAGCAAGGGCATGGATGGCACATGGGTCGCTAACACGCACACACATGCACATGCACACGCACGCATGCACACACGCCCGCACACACACGCACACACATGCACATGCACACGCACGCATGCATGCACACACACACACACATACACACCTCTGCGTAGACGTGGTATGTAAAGGCACGGCGGCCGAGGTGGGAGAGGATGTAGAAGGGGAGCGCAAAGAGGGCGATGGGAACACTGACGATGAGCATGATGCAGGCGATGGGAAGCCACAACCTGCGGAACTTGACAATCTCATCTGTGGTGGGTCGGAAGATGGACACGACCCAGTTGAGCGCCAAGTACGCCGGCGTCATGAAGACCCATGCCAAGGAGAACACGGCTCGCGGCAAGAAGCTCTTGAACGCGGACTTTCGCAAGGGTGGGTACCCTTCCAAGCCATGCGGTTGTGTCCCAGGCATGCCGCTGTGTGTGCGTATGTGTGTAATGTACGTGTGTGCGTATGTGTAATGTGCGTGCGTGCGTGTGTGTATAGTGTGCGTGCGTGCGTGTGTGTATAGTGTGCGTGTATAATGTGCGTGTGTATAGTGTGCAATGTGTGTCTGATCGCTTGGTGGTTGGTGGTTGGTTGGTGCGCAACGTGGGTGCTGTTGTGGGTGGTTGGTCTGCTGGGCGCGGCGGTTCTTCTGCCGTTCAGCGATCTCCAGCTCTCTCTCTCTCTCTCTCTCTCCAGTCAACGCGGAGTGTGGAGAGCGCTGCACACAGCACACAGCGACCTGGAACGGGGTTCGTTATTTGGGGTGGGCTGTCTGTCGTCTGAATTGGCGTCTGTCTGTGGAGTGTGGAGGGTGCAGCTGGCACGATGCGACGTGCTGATGGCAAGAACAAAGCAAATGTACAGAAAGCAAGAACCGCACACACCCGGACGCTGTCGAATGTTGGTTGAAAATTTCAACAAATCCTCCACAATCACACACAGCCAGCAGCAAAGCAACAACGTGCTCACCCACCCAGCCCACTGTTGTCCAGTGTTCAGTGCTCAGCAGGTGCTTTGTGCTGTCTCGACAGACAGCAGTCTTTGTCGTTGTCACAGTCTTTGTCGTTGTCACAGCCACAGTCACACAGACACACAGACACACACACACAGCCACACACACAGACAGTTACACACACAGACACACACACAGACAGTTACACACACACAGACACACACACATACACACACGCAGACACACGCAGACACACACACACGTGTACATAACACCAAGGACAGGACCATGGGGTTGATGGATAGGACACCTGGTTACACGACATGGAACCTGCTGGGGTTTTTGCTAGCGCTGGTGTGGCAGCACCCGACCGTCGTGAGCATGTCGTTCTGCTCGTGCGTCGGCGTCGTCACTTCGTTCCACTTGGGCCTGCTCATGGACCCGACTGCGCTGGACAGACTGATCACGAAGAACGACCTTCCCAGGGGATGGAGGTTCCACTTTTACAACTCGCTGGCCCACGTCGTGCCCGTCTTTGTGCTGCTTGCGGTGGTGTGGATGAAGCAGGTGCCCGTCTTGCTGCACCATGGGCTCTGGGTGTCCGTTGTGCACATTGGCTGGGGCATCCTGGTATCCGGCGGGTCGCTTTCCCTTGACCACGTGTACGCGTACATGCCAGTATCAGCCTGGTACGGCATGTGGGTGACAGCCGTCTTATCTGAAGCAGTGCTCGTCCCTTACTTCTTCTAGCACCAAGCGCCTGCCAGTGTGTGTGTGTGTGTGTGTGTGTGTGTGTGTGTGTGTGTGTGTGTGTGTGTGTGTGTGTGTGTGTGTGTGTGTGT